AACCTAAATAGCAGGCCGTTTTTCAACGACTTAACCAGTTAGCTGAAGTGGTAAATTCTAGCATACCCATATTGACGGCGGTTTTTTCACCGACTTGACTGGAAAAGGGTTAAACTATATATTTTTACCCATGGCTCAAATAAATGCTGGATGTTTTGGCCTGAACGTTTCAGCCTATGTAGAGTTCAATGGTAAGATGATCTTAGCCACAGAGTGAAAATATTCTGAGTGAAAGTACATGTATAAGGAGAAGTGTCCTACAATCAATGATTTCTTTAAGTTTACTTCTTCTACTATCTGCTGTTGCATATAATAAACACACAGTATATATAGCATTCTTCTCAGTGTACGTCAGCTGCCTACATGTATGTGTGGTGGTTTCCTCGTCCATCACCACAGACTTTAATCTTAGCTGCATTTCTGTAAACAAGTGTGTGCAGATATCACATAATAGTCAATGTATTGAATATTTCTGTAAACAAGTGTGTGCCAATATTACTTAGGTAAAAACACTGCAGTGATATATATAGCATATCTATTTAACTTGACCACATCCCAACTGGGCAACCAATCAAATGGCTTCTTATAAGCAATCAATTTGATTTTGAGTTTAACCCTCAAGGCCTGTACATGTGTTGTCGTTCATTACCACATGTACATGTACATATATGTATGTTGAAAACAATGTTGACTTGGTAGCATACTCCTTACAATGTGTGTGCAATTTGAAAAACTTATAAAAAGTCAAACAAAATTTTTTACATTTTATTATAAATTTTGATTTGTAGTCGAAGATGTACAAGTGCAGTGCCAGATGTTGTGATAATAAGGGGTATTCAATGGAAGAAGCACAGCGTTGCATAGAACAGTGTTCACAGCCAGTACAACAAGCACAGGTTTATGTACAGAATGAACTCAGGGATTTTCAGGTATGTGTATATCAATTCAGATCTGGTTATTGACATCAACATTTTTTATTTCTTTGCTCTTCTGTGTATTCAACTACAGTATAGGTGTAATATTTTGAACATTACAATCTTTCCTGACGCTTAATTGAGAGTCTAATTGTGGTTTTCCGTAGTTATTGACGCCTATTCAAGAGTATGTCGTTTATTGTGTGTAGCGTTTCCACAATGAACTGTCATCACCGTGAAAAGTGTTAATCAATGCTCAGTTTGTCTTTTGAAAAAAAAAAAATTTCTTGATTTAAAAAAAAAGTCATGCTGTTTTCCCATCAAAATCAAAGCCTAAAGATCGCACTACAACATACTAGGTAAATCTTGTTCGTGTTGCGTTCACCAT